AAGGGGAGGGGTGGGGGGGTCTAAGATTTTGTGACAAGCAATGCATTAGGTATAGGAAAAACGTCACGATATGGGGGGGGTTATATTTTGCTCGATTTAGCGTGACATAATTAATGCATGGGCCCTTTTCCTAGAGCGGAAGATTTTGGTTTTTTTTAAATTACACCTCCAATATGTTGCCGAAAGACGTAATCCTACGTCAAAAAATATTGAGCACAAACAGGAGAGATGGCAGTATTGCATGTAGCCTGTTATTGACTTTCCCGCACACGGGTGTAAACAAAATGTCATACAGCATGATCTGGTAGTGTGATGTTTTGTCTACGACATAATTATGCACGCCCATGTGTAACGTCACATTTGTTGTTGTATTGAAAATAAAAGAATAAAGAGATGGTAGATTTTGCTCACCATACCAGATGATATTTATGATGCATTGACTGTTTTGGCACGGCGACGCACGCTACCAACGAATTTTACCAATACTTTTAGATAATTGTGATTAAGTAATACAAGAAAAAGCAAAAGAAAATCGAGTGGTGGTTAGTTACCACTTAAGGGGTTACGCCTACCTGCAAGACCGAAAAAAAGCGAAAGTTTGGATTTTTTTTCTCGAAAACGACGCAACATATTGAAAATCGGTTTTCTGCCGTTTATTGAATACACATTAAATGGTACATTTATCAGTCGATGCTGAAAAAACGAGGTCCTGGTGCCCCGCACGGCTGCTCCCCGTAGACGATGTTCTAAAAAACGCTTTTTGCGGTGCCAACTGCAAGGTTGCAAATACTCATTTCAGCTTAAACAATGTTTTTCTAAATTATGAAATAATTAGATGCCATGATCAAATTTTGAATTGGTAGGATACAAGAAGAGGTTGCAAAGAATGTGTTTGACATATTAAACCTGTTTATTTCACTTCATGAGAGTCACAATCAGTTATTTTTCACAAACTCACTCACTCACTCAGCGATCAGAAAATCGCTGATTGTGACTCATAGAAAGCAAAATTTACAGGTTTTATGTTTCAAACGCATACTTTGTAACATCTTCTTGTAAGTTACAAGTTAAGCATGCCATCATACCATCTTTTGGTTTTATTATTCCGAAAAACATTATTTTAGCTGAAATTAGTATTTGCAACCTTGGCCAACTGCGGTTTGTGATGTAATCATCTGAAATAAAAAAAAAAACATGCCAAATCGTTAAGGTTCAATTAACTTTGATGCTTTTTGGAAAATTTCAAAAGCAGTTTTTTCCGACGCATTATTTCAGATTGCAAAAAGCTCGCACTATTCGATTCCTTTTGATATTTTACACAAAATGACGCGAGCTTTTTGCAATCTAAAATAATGCGTCGAAAAAAACTGCTTTTGAATTTTAAAAAATGCATCAAAGTAAATTGAACCTTAAGCATGTGTTAAACTAGTCCTTGATCGTTCGTTTTTTTTTTTTAATTTTGTTGACAAAATGGCGGCCTTGCAAAGGTGAAGCGCCGATTTTTGATCCTTAAAATTTGTCTTTGATCGGCTGTAAAAAATCGAAATTAAATGATAGACTAAATCCGAACGATCGTGGACTGCACAAAATAGTACTGAACAGAAATCAAAACGAATCGGACGAATCGAATGTATACATTTCGAGAAATTTTTGGCACCGATTTTGAAAATATGATTCCGAGATAATCGCGTTTAAAGTTTCAAGTTGGGTTTAGTCCACTATAAGTGAATATTTTTGTACGTCGCATAACTTTCACAATTTTCATCGGATCTACTTGATCTTTTGAGGAAATATTCTTGATTTTATATACTTTCGATTAGGACAATAAAAAAAATCGATTTTTTGAAAGTTTGCAGGTAGGCGTAACTCCTTAATGTATCTATTTTAAGACGGATTATATTACTAAAAAAAATAGTTGGACTTAACGTTAACTTTTTATATTATTTAAAAAGTAATGAACGAAGCTCCGAAGATCTATCCATCCCTGCCTCAAACAAGAGGACAACGATTATTGGTGCTGTCGGTGAATTGAAGCATATGTATGCTGATTATGCTCATATCAAACCGTTTCATACGTGTTTCGACGCAGTGCATCGTAAAGACGGCGGCACATACGAGTCAAGAAAATCAGTGCATCAATGAAAGTTTCCCGACAAAAAGTGCTGAGAGCGAGAATAGGAAGTCAAACGCTTCATTCATTTATCGGACACTGACAACCGTGTCAACCTTGTATATTTTAATATACTGTTAAGGTGCAGTTTATTTTGGTGCGATATCCAAAAACTCAAACCGTGTTTTTTAGACGCATCATTTCAGCTCTCGTCGTTTCATTCCTTTTGCTATTTTACACTAAATTACGCGAGATTTTTGCAATCTGCAACGATGCGTCAACAAAAACTGGGTTTGAATATTTCTAAGACACATCAAAGTAAATTGCACTCACACTCACATTATGCTAAATTGGAAATCAACAATCCATCTCATTAGTGATTGTTTCAGTTAGTCAGCAACCACAACTGCAAAGTCATGGTAGAAAATCGTTATTTAACTTCAGACACCTTGGAATACAATTATTTAAAAAAAAAATAGAAAATTTCCTCTATTTCGAGAAAAACACCTACCTACATGTACTAATGATGAAATTAACAAGCGAAATTTCTCTCCTTAAAAGCATTCAACATTGTTGGATCACTTCAGCCTCTGCCAACGAAACGAAATAGCAGCTTTTATCTTTGGCAATCCCGTCAGCACGGTTCATCCTGTCTCCGCACCCAACCGAATCCAACTGAGAGGCTTCAAAAGCAGTGCATTTCTCTTATAATTCCAACCCCCGATCCTAGGAGAATGTTTATAATCAACGGTGAGCGATGCGACAGGAAAATCTCGCTCCCTCTCTCGCTCTCACTCCGGATGCAGAATAACCGGCAATAAAATTCCACGTGGTTTGTTGCGCTTCAACTCCGACATCTTCCGTTCGGGGGAGAGTGCAAGCTTCCCCGTCCGACACACGACCGACCTTTCATCGGGTGAACTCACAGCATCCCTCGAGCATGCGCGCTACCCTTGACGAATGTGAGAATGAATGCACGTTAGAATGTGTCGGACCTGGGGGGTATGAGTTGTATTTTTTTATCGCACTCAGTAGAGATTGTTAACAAAAACTATGCAACCGGGTTTTGTGTTTGTTTTCATAGTGATTCTTCTCTAATTATGACGAGGAATAGATAGAATAACAATGGTAACAAAGCTCAGCACTTTCGCTTTCAACGCTTGGGGTTATTCGAATACGTGGACAAGCCGTTGAGATAAAGACACTCTTTTTTAACGAAGTGAACGTAAAAAATTAAATGTATGATGTCCGGTAAGTTTTTCATGATAATCAAAACATCGGTACCGTTTCTCATTTCTGGGTATATACTGTTTTCAGTGCTGTAGTCCAAAAATTTGAGCTAAGTGTTCGCACTAAATTTGACAAGTCTGCCTCCCATAGCATTACGCCTAATTGAAGTAAAGTTTATGATCATGAAAAAATGCAGCCTTTAGAATTACTGTACACTATATGAATCTCCATTCAGGTGGTGGCTGAACTTATTTTCTTGGATTTCTGCATTGTTTGGCTATATTTTTATTAGAATGTACCAAAATTGATCGTTAAACAGATTTCTAAGATCTTGCAGACTAATAGTTACGGCAAGTTGTCTGAGTAAGCCATTGATGCTTAAGTTTTTTGATACGCATATTTCCAACATAATCAACACATCATCAGAGCTATGAGAACCTAATGAGAACATGATCATGCGCTTAAATTTGCGAGACACATTTGGAAACATTTACATCGTGGGATATATTATTTATATCGATGATGATGATGACTGTTAGAGCGAGAAGACAAGAAGTATCGATGCCACAGTTTTGCATGTGCATCCCTAGAAAACTGTATATGAGAGAGAATCTCTCATGCCGGGCCGCTCTTGATCTCTATGTACATACAGCTGACGATCGATCGCTACCGATCGGGTCAGCTGTATGGCACATAGGGTACGTAGATAAAATATCAGTTATAATAAACCGTCGCGGAAGACACTTCGTTTGTTCCGTCCTTTACCGTAATAAATGTAATTTTGTGTTCACGTAATAAAGTGTATTTTCGTTGTTTTAAATCGTACATTTCTCGTGTGTCCGAAAGATTTCCCGCGACGGGCGCGAACATTTGGTCCTTCGAACCGGATTTGTGAATTTTCGGACACTTTGTGTGGTGTGTGGTGCTATATGCGAGGATAAGTCGCGAATCCTCAGCACGAACAGTTTGTACGGGCTGCTGTTAGTTGGAGCAGCAAATAGAACTATCAGTGCGCGAAAGCCGACGGCAATTTAATTGCACGAAATTGGCTCGGAAAATAGTGAAATTTCCCCCACTGGACCGTGATATTGAGTGAACAATACGTCACAGTGTGAAATGAGACTCTCGGCGCCATAGCAAAACGGCTGTCGAAACTCTTTGTGACCAATCCCAATTGTGTGCTTCACGGCGCCATCGCGATAGAGATCGCGATCACGTACAGAGGAAAGCTGCGGCCATTTGGAGGATCTCGACGCGCCAGGAACGAGACGTAAACAGCCAGGATCAACGGCGGACATACTGTTGCAGCATTATTTGGGAAGTAGTGCATGTTGTACGGTGGCTTGTTGCATGTGGCTACCCGTGGCAATTAATTAATAAATTGGTTGATAGTGCATGAGAGTCCTTTTTTCTTTGGTACATAGCCCTGTGGTGTCCGCTAGTTTGTTTTGGTCTCGAAGTCTGCTGGATTTGTCGGCTTGTTTGTCCTCTCTGGTCGATTTCCCCTCGCTGCTGTCGTTTGAGAATTCAATCTGTCTCTTGAGGTCGCGAATTTGTGGAACGTCGAGTCGATCGGGAGTGTTTTGGTGAAAGGGCTGTGCAGTGTAAAATATACTGATTAATTACTGGAGAATTTCGCGACGAAATATGATCCTGCTAGAGACGAGTGTCAAGTCAGCGTACGACTGGAAACGCTAGCATCAGTCAGCAAGGAGTTCTACGAGGTTCGGGAACGAATTGAGCTGTTGATGGACGATGTTGATGATGCTGATGCGGACGAGGAAACGCAGGAGAAGGAAAATCTGCTAGCTTTGAGTAGTTTCGAGGAGCGATATTACTCCGTGAAGGCCAGTTTGTTGTCAAAGCAGACCCCACTATCATCTACATCGATGTCTGTCGGAAATGGTCAACTTGGTGACCGATCCGAAGCATCATTCTCGAAGGTGAAACTTCCAGAAATTCGCCTTCCTTCGTTCGGTGGGAGGATTAAGGAGTGGGTTACGTTCCGGGATAGCTTCTGCAGCCTGATCCACGAAAACAAGCACCTAACCGATATGGACAGGTTCAGCTATCTGAAGTCAGCCCTGTCAGGAGAGGCCCTGCAAGAGATCGAGTCGGTGGAGCTTTCGGCAGTGAATTACAGCGTAGCGTGGAAGGCGCTTGAGTCCCGCTACGAGAACAAGAAGCTGATTGTGAAGGCACATCCGGATTCCCTTTTTGCCGTGGAAGGCTTGAAGCGAGAAAGCTACGACGGACTGAGCAATCTCATCAGCGCTTTCGAGAAGAACGTGCAAATGCTAAAGAAGATCGGCGAAGAAACTGCTGCATGGAGTACGATTCTCGCATACATGGTGTATTCCCGGCTGGATACTGCCACTCTACGGCAGTGGGAAACACACCACAATTCAAAGGGTGTACCGACGTACGAAAACCTTGATAAGTTTCCTTCGAAATCATTGTGCAGTGCTGCAATCCGTCGCCCCAACGAAGCCGAGCCAGTCTGATCAACGATCGTCGAAGTCATCCGTGTGTCACACTACCGTGAGATCTTCAAGCAAGTGCCCATTCTGCAGTGGATCGTGGCATTCTGCATTCGTCTGCAGCAAATTCCAACGTCTTCAAATTCCCGAGCGCAGTGAAGCTGCGTTCAAAGCAAGGTTGTGCCTGAATTGTTTGAGTCCTGGTCACATCGCACGAAACTGCGAGAAGGGTGTCTGTCGTCACTGCCAACAGAAGCACCACTCCCTGCTGCATGGTGCATCAGCTAGATCCTCCGTTCCACAGTCGCAGTCAAATCCTCCGACACAAACCAGACGGCAGCCACAATCCAAGCCAACAAACTCGAACCAACATACACACAACGCTAGTACCAATACATCCACCACATTGCAAGGACAAAGCACTCAATCAACAGCCACTCCACCACTAGCCACAAACACAGCCACACCCTCCACAAGTCAAACACACATTGCACTCCCAATCACACCTACACAGAACATCATGTTATCAACCGCTCTAGTCAAAGTTAAGGACCGTCACGGCAATTCCATGCTGGCACGAGCGCTGCTGGACTCGTGTTCGCAGCATTGCCTGATGACGAAAGAGTTCTCAAGCAAACTTCAGTTTTACAAATCGCCGTCATATCTGTCTGTCCAAGGGATCGGCTCATCTACGAGCACTTCAACAAAACTCGTCAGTGCTGTAGTAAGGCCGAGGTTAGATCGCATTTCATCGTTCGTGCAAGAGATGCAGTTCCACGTCCTTCCACGGTTGACTGTGTCGCTACCGACTGCAACCTGCGATATCAGCGGCTGGACGCTTCCGGAATCGTCATCTTTAGCTGATCCACGCTTCTATGAACCTGGTCCTGTTGACGTCATTATCGGGGCGGAATACTACATGGACCTCCTGAGGAGCGAACAGCAAAAGGCGACTGAAGACGGACCCACACTGCAGAATACAAATTTCGGCTGGATAGTTTCCGGAAAGGTTCCCGAGCATTCACCCAGTAGATGTCAATCTCTGACACTCGTGTGTTCTACCACCGAGCTCCAAGATCAACTCGCAAAGTTCTGGGACCTAGAGACATGCCGAAACCTTAGTACGCATTCTTTAGAGGAGTCAGCGTGTGAAGAACATTTCGCCCGGACAACGATCAGAGACGAGACCGGCAGATTTATTGTCACGATGCCGAAGAAGGAAGCCGTAATTAACCGGTTAGGTCATTCGGAGACCACAGCGATAAAACGGTTGATGGGCATGGAACGCCGTTTCGCTGCAAATCCAGAGCTGAAGACGATGTACGACGAATTCATTCGTGAATATCTTGCACTTGGACACATGAAGGACGTCACCGAGGAGGTCGGAGAGGTAGGAGTAAAAAGATATTTTCTACCACATCATGCTGTTCTTAAGCCAGACAGCACGACTACGAAGCTGCGCGTAGTTTTCGACGCTTCCTGTCAAACGTCTACCAAATATAGGCCAAGGTCGTGGCCAGCCGAACAGTAGCAGCAAATTTGGGTCAGCGAAAGTATATAGCACAGTAGCAGCAGCAGAGAAGATCGATTGTTTTGTGTTTATTTGTATGTAGTTGTTAGATGTTAATGTTAGTTAGTGTTAGAGTAGGATAGTTAATTGAAATCAAATATTTCAAGGCGGCCGGCATATGTTAGAGCGAGAAGACAAGAAGTATCGATGTCACAGTTTTTCATGTGCATCCCTAGAAAACTGTATATGAGAGAGAATCTCTCATGCCGGGCCGCTCTTGATCTCTATGTACATACAGCTGACGATCGATCGCTACCGATCGGGTCAGCTGTATGGCACATAGGGTACGTAGATAAAATATCAGTTATAATAAACCGTCGCGGAAGACACTTCGTTTGTTCCGTCCTTTACCGTAATAAATGTAATTTTGTGTTCGCGTAATAAAGTGTATTTTCGTTGTGTAAAACCGTACATTTCTCGTGTGTCCGAAAGATTTCCCGCGACGGGCGCGAACAATGACGATATGGGACTTCCATTCAATGTAGCAATACAACTGTCGGTAGACTGTGGGTTATCCTCGCTGTTTGACTTGATCAAGTTTAATAACCTCTAATTGTACTCAAACTGCCATTGCATGAAAGGCCAAAAACGGTTTGAGTGGATCCGTGAGCAACATCGTCCACGTGCATCCAAGGGATAAGTAAGAATCTTTTTCCGAAAACAGGATCATACAACCGGTCAAAAAAAGCCATCTATCAGGAGAATGTCTCAATGAGTGGGGAGAAAAGCCCGCCATCTTTTCACAAAATGTTAAAGACAGGGAGTTGGCATTTCCACTCTTCCCATCCATTTCACTTCAATCGGGGGCCCTGATGGACAATCGACCGGTGTTAAAAAGATCACTCTCGCCTTTCCTTCCTCACACAGCAGCGTAATACCAAGACAAGAAGGTCCCGAAGAAACGTGCTCAACTTTTTGGCTCAGCTTTGGTACTCTCTTCGGTTCCAAGTTAATCGATGCACCCCTCGAAACATAGGAAAATCCACGAACCCCTCTTTTTATCTGTCAAACTTTCATAGCGAATCAAAACAAACATAGTGTAGTACTAGAATTTCGACTAGAATGGGGTACGTTAATCGTTTGCTTGAGACCAATAGGCTAGTCAAGTAGTGAGGCAATTTCAAATCGTTAGCTTCCACCGGTTAATACCACAGACAGACATACAAATTAGTACCGTTGTACCAACAATCAATACGAAACTAACGATTTTAAATTGGCTCACTACTTGACTAGCCTATTGGTCCCAAGCAAACGATTAAAGTACCCCATTCTAGTCGAAATTCTACTACTACACAATGTTTGTTTTGATTCGCTATGAAAGTTTGACAGATAAAATGAGGGGTTAGAGGGTTTTCTTATGTTTCGAGGGGTGAATCGATTAGCTTGGAACCGAAGAGAGTACCAGAGCTGGGCCAAAATGTTGAGCACGTTCTTTCGGGACCTTCTAGTCTTAGAGTGACCTCTATGGTTGTACTCCTTTAATTTAACACTTCAAAACAATTTGTAGTACTAGCTTAAATCAGTACAACATGGTTCAACGGTAGTACAACAGTGAACTTTGTTTGTCTGTACAAGGTATAAACAACCAAAAACCACGATACACACACTAGCTGCTCTAACTAGAGGGATCTCGGCAGAGAAAAAATGGACTGCGTACTCTTTCCACTACCAATCACTAGCAAAACAACGGCTTCAGTTCACCAGTATAGTCTGTAAGATGTAGCGTCAGCTCATCTCCAGTCGAATCAACTCGCGACCAACGCTGAAATCAGAACCGAAAACTCCAGTGACCGAAAACAAATGAGGGATATATTATTTATATCGAAGAGAAAAATAAAAAATATGTGCTTAAGTCATACGATGGACTCCGGAGAATCTCAAAAGTGATTCTGGAGATGAATCTCAATTGTGGTTCTGGACGATCTTAAGAAAAATGTTGGATAATTTACGAACAATAAATCCTAGAGGGATTGCGGAAAATCATTATCCACTACCAACCAACCAAATCTAAGAAGATGTTCGTTGAATCACCAGAATTAGTCTGGAAAAGAAAGCAGGGATTCTAAAGAATCTCCAAAAGGATAACCAGGAACCTCAAAAGCGATTCTGTAGAAAACCAAATGCGATTCTAGAGTATTCCCAGTGGCATTATAGATCAGACATCAGACTCCAAATAACTCCAAAGAAGGTTCCAAATAATCTGAATCGAAATACCATAGAATCCTAAAAGGTGGTAATTAAGAGCATAGCATTTAATTCCGACGAATTCAACGAAGAACTGATTAGATAAATCTTATTTTTCTTTTTTTTTTATTATAGTCACTTTAACACTCTTGGGTCATTCGTGACTTGTCCGGGGGTGAGATTTGAACTCGTGACTTTGGCGTGAGAGGTATGGATGTTAACCACTACGCCGGGGTCGCCCCCGCATAAATCTTATTAGGAATTTTGGAGAATCCATAGAGAAATTTTGGAGAATCTCAACAAATCAATTAAAAAAGTACTCTGACGAAGTATTCCAGTGAATTCCAAGAGTTTTTCTGGAGAACTAAATAGAAAATTTTGAAAATAATAGCAAATAGGAGAAAATCATTCACACATAGGGTCCCTAATAAGAGCGTAGAGGCTATAAGTACTTGTACTGAATAGAATTCAGAACACATCTCGTTTATTAATCAATTTCGTTGGCCTTAAATAGGTGGCCCTATGTTGCGCTAAATTGTGCATTTGCACGGGTTCTAATGGGGAAACTTCTGGAGCGACCCGAGGTCAGCGTGACAAAATAATCAATATTTCGTGTATAGAACTTTGTACTGAGCGATCGATTGAACTGCAGTGCACTTGCCGTGGCGTGGTGCCTCGATACACCGTATCGGTCACGTAAGCATAAAATTATATGCGCACAGTATTTAATTTCACAAAGAATAGGCACATCTTTTATTTCGTGCATCTATAAAATTCATTTCGATTTCTTTTGGCTAAAAAGCATTACGCAATCTTATGAATCTTATGAGCTCAAGGGATCATTACCAGGATTATTAAAAATGCGAATCTATAAAATTCATTCATTCATGAAAATAATGTTGACAAAAATATTGACGAATGACAGTTCCCTTAAAATGTATATACTTCCCTGAACTTCTCTGGGCTTCCTTAAAGTTCCCTAAACTTTCCGAATAAGCATGGATCTTCTCTGAAGACCATGATTTTCATGCTGTAATTTAAACTTTATCAATTTCCCAGTAGTTCTCCAAACTTCATCAAAATTGTTATAGTTTCCTTGAAGCTAATAGAACTGCTCTGCCATTTTCCTAAAGCTTTTGATATTTACTTACTTATGTATCCGGCACACCCCTAGTGATGCATAGGGCCACCGTGAGAGATTTCCATCCTGGGTGGCTGCTCACTTTTCCCTTAACATGGGCCCACTTCAGATTCCTAAAGACTACCTTTA